CGAGTCGACGTCGAGGCTGAAGCCGGGGAGGTGCTGCACCGCCGTCTTGATGGCCCAGTGGAGTGCGCGCGTGAAAAGGAATGGCGCCAGCGAGCAGCCCTGTTTCACGCCGCGGGCCGTGCGCACCACGCTGGTGCGGGCGGCGAACCACCTGATAGAAGTGTAGTCCGTCAGCGCCAGCGCGGTGACGCGGTTGAGCAGCGAGACTCCCTCGGCCATCAGCACCGCCGCCAGCTCCCGCCGCCCGGTCGACGGGAACGCCGACTTGATGTCCAGCGCTAAGACGTGGACGGTGTCCCCGGCCCTCCAGCGCACGTCTAGCACCTTCCTGAGCAGCATGATGTGGTCATAAGTTCCCCTCTGCGGCTGGAACCCAGCCTGATACCAAGGCATGGGCGGGAGCACCGCAGAGAGGAGCATCAGGAGGTGCTTGGCCAGCAGCTTGTAGATGACGTTCCCTAAGGTGAGCGTGCGGTAGTCCTCCACCGAACGCGGGCGCAGCACCTTGGGGATGGGCTGCTGGACCGACGTGACCCACTCCACGGGGAACGCGCCCGCCTCCCAGGCAGGGCCCACCACAGCAGCAAGCAGCCGGAAGAACCTGGGCGGGGCATACTTGAAAAGCTCACCCGGCAGCCCGTCCGGTCCAGGGGCGGTGTTGTTCAAGAGGGTCTTGGCGTCAGAGGTCGGCATCGGCTCCCAAACCCAGCTCGTTTCCGTCCCGGTCGCTCTGTCACCCGTCCCGTCCCGTCCGCTCTCGGTCCGGCTCGCTCACTCCCACTCGCCGAGACTCGATCGTGTCAACGGGTCCCGTCTGCTGGCCAGGCGTGGCGTGGCGTGGCGCTGGACCGACTTTGCCTACGCGCCACGCCACGCCACGCCCTCAGGTGACCGGCAGGCGGGGCTCGGCCACTCAAACGGGTCCCGTTCGCTCGGCTGCATTCGGCGAGGTTCGGCACATCGCCATCGCTACCTCGGGTTTCTCGCTCTGTCTCTCTCGCACACCTACTGCGCACGGCGCGCGCTCAGAGTGGGACCCGTTCGGGAGCGGATGCCGACCTCTGCTTGGCGTACCCCGCCAGCTGGTCCGGTCCGGCCGTAGGCGCCGGAGCTCCGGGGTCAGGGGTCTCCTCCAGCACCGGGACCGGGGCGCCGTCCTGGAGCCCGTCCGCCCACCGCTGCCAGTCCTGGATGTTGGGCCCGCCGGCCCCCGCGGCCGTCGGGGTCCGCTTGGAGACGCCGAGGTGGCGGAACAGGACGTGCATGCGGGCAGCGGGCCGCGTCCCAGCCACGGAGGCGAAGAAGCGCCCCTGCTGCTCCATCTGGTGCTGGTCGCGGGCCGCGCGCTGCGCCGCGCGTGCCGCCCGGAGGCGGTCTGCTGCGTAAGGCGCCCGGCCTGCCCTGTGATAGGCCGTGAGCGCCGCCGCCGTTACATTCGCCGCCGCCTGGCGCCGCGGAGTCTGCGGTTCAGGACCCGCGGCCAGGACACCATTAGCCGCCGACCGCAGTGCGTTCACCAGCTGGCGCCAGGTGAATTCCCGCCTGGCGTGCGCCTCCTGCTCCACCAGGAGCGCGTCCAGCGTGGCGGCGTACGAGGCCTTGAGGTCCGGGTCAGCCGCCAGTCGGCGGGTCTCCCAGTCCTTCCTTGGCGGGTGGAGGACCGGCGCACCGGAGGCGCCGTGAGCCCCGCGAGGCTGGTACGGCCGCGCCGCAGGCGGGTCCATGGCGACGAGCACACACCTGTGGTCCGTCTCGATGTACCGCGGGTCCAGGCCCTCCACGCGGCGGACGCGGGAGAAGTCCGTCAGAACGTGGTCCAGTTGAGACTGACGGGCCCCGTCCACCCTGGTGACCCGGCAGTTGTGCGCCTTGGAGCCCGTGCTGACGATCGGCAGAGATTGCTGCTGCGCCAGCTGGAGCAGCGCCACCCCCGCGTTATTGCTGAAATCGTGAAGCAAGGCCTACCAACCTCCGGGCAGGTGGGGGTGTCCTGGCTGCCCAGGTGGGCGTCGAAGTCCCCCGCGACGATGCGCCAGCGATCGCGCGGCAGCGCCGCCCTCACCGCCGCGAGAGCCGCCAGCCCCGCCCGCTGCCGCGCCGGCGCCGTGCGGTGTCCAGTGCTGCAGGGGATGTGGGCCCCGACTATGGCGAAGGGCACCCCTCGCACCACAGCCCGGACCGACAGGATGTCCGAGAGGGGGAAGGCGTAGGTTGTCACATAGGTGTCCGCGAGGCCGCGGCGGATGAGAACCGCGACACTCCGGTGCCTACTCGGCGTCGTGCCCTCCACCAGCCACTGGTAGTTGGATGTGCTGGTGATCTGGCGGGCCATCCGGGTCTCCTGCAGGACTGCTACGTGGACGTCCTCCAGCAGAAAGGCGTTCACTGCCTCCTGCAGGGCGGGCGCCCGGCACGCCCTGACGTTCCACGTCACGACCCTGATGGCCCCCGGCCGGTGGTAGAGAATCGGCGTGCAGCGGGGGCTGCAGCGTCAGTGCTAGGGGCGCATCAGCCGGGGTGGATCCGATGTCGCCTGATGCCGCACCGCTGGCGCCGGAGACCGACCCGTCGGCCCCGCGCGGGTCGGCGCCGGGTGGGGGGGCTGAGCCCAGCCGGCCCTCGTCCGGAGCAAGCTGGAACACAAGGGGCGCTTCCGCCACCACCACGTCAAAGTGGTAGTAAGGCCGGGGAGCCAGCGGCCCTTCCTCCAGGAAGGCTGCCAGGACGATCGACCGCACCCGCGGGCCGCCGTGCGCCGCCGGCGGAAGGATGGTCAGCGAATCAGCCGCGGGGCGCTGGAGCCGTAGCGGCCGGGCTAGGATTGCCGCGAGCGCCTGCGCGCACTCCAGGTCCGCCGGCGTATCCGGGCGCTCCAGCAGAGCAAGCGCCTCCTCGACCGGGTCGTCGTCGTCAGCCTCAGGCGCCATGCGGCGGCGGAAATTGACGAGCGGTGCGGCATAGAGGTCCTGATGCCGGCGCAAGAAATGGACCGCCGCCCTCCTGAGCTGAGGCGCCTGGTGCGGGGCCTGAGCCGGGTCCTCAGGGCGGACCGCCAGGGCCGCTGCCTGAAATAGTGAGTTCGGGCCAGCGTCCACCTCTAGCGTCGTGACCACCCGGTCGCCGGACTGGAACTCCGGCATGGCTGCGCTACACCTGTCGAAACAAGCAGGCCCGCCCTTCCGCCAAACGGAGTTGCCAGCTCCACTTCGCTGCGCCGGCAACTCCGTTCGGCAGGAGCCAGGCCTGCTTGGCCTGCCGGCGGCGATGGTCGGGCCTTCGGCCCGACCATTTCAGTCTCGC